GCAACCTGGACATGTGCCAGAACTGGGAGCTGAACTGACAGCATTTTGGTGCATGGGACGAGGCCCAACCAACTGACCCATCTTGTATTTTTTGATTCACACTCTGCCATACCTGCTTGACTACCAAACCCTTCCACAGAACGCACCTTGGAAAACCCCCGAGTAAACTGTGGGGGCCAGCAGGAAACATGAAAGCCGGAAGCAGGCCCAAACAAGATGCATCAGGACCCTGCAGTCAGCTACAAGCCCTGAAAACTTCCTGGCAGCTCCTGGGTCCAGGGAGTCTAGCGCTTCTGTCCTACGAAAACCTCCCTCAGGACCCGCCCAGGGTTCGAATCCCATCTGAGCCTCAACAGTCCTACTGAGAGGAGCAAGGAAGGAGCCAGGACCCTGTGTCATATGACCGAGGAGACTGGGACCCTGGAAGACCAGAAAACTGACCCAGGGTCACAGTGCAGGTGACTCTGCAGGTAGGAGAGAAGGGGAAGCGGACACACCTACCGCGCCGTTATCATACACGAAGCCCTTCGCCCCCGTTGTCCTGGGGAGTTCTCCCAACAGCCCTTTGAGGGAGGCACTGTTGTTATCCCCATTTCACAGAACAAGAAACTAACAGCAAGAAAGATTCTGCCACTTTTCCAAGGTCCCAGGGCTAGTAAGTGGCACGGCCTGGATTTCAACCCTGGCAGCCGGAAGCCAGAAGGCAGGCCCTCCGCCCGCTCTGACACTCACTCGCTAGGTAACCTTGGGTGAGGGACTTAACCACTCCTGGCCTCAGTTTCCTCACCTATAAAACAGGACGGTAAAAGGACCTGTGTATTAGGTTATTACGAAGATTAAATCTGCAAAGACACAAAGGTGCTCAGCACAGTGCCCGGCACACAGGAGGCACCGACTGTGGGACCTTTCAGTAGACACACCTCGGCGCCGAGCCTCTGGGCTCTGGACGCCCCAGGCGGGACGCACTCGCGGCTCTCTGCAATGTGGGCCTGCCCATCAGTCCCAGGCCGCTGCCCCTCCACCTGGCAACAGGGATCTCCAAGCTGGGGCTCTAAGGTACCCCACGTAGGAGGGGACTCTGGAAGTTTGGGTTCCCAGACCCAGGCCAAACCTGGGTCTCACCCTCTGAGGCCTCTAACAGGCCACTTCCCCTGCAGGGCTGGGGATCAGAGCTGGGGATATCCCCAGCTCAACATGGGTCACAGGCCTCTCCCCATACTTGCCCCATGGCCCCAGATCACGGGGTGGGGAGGCAGGGGGCTCTCCAGACAGACAGCTGATGTCCTCATGACCTTCCCCAGCCCTCCGAGCCTTAGGGATGACAATAACACCCACCCGGAGCCTTCACACTTCCTGTAGCAGCTCACCCACGTTAGGTCACAAGATGGGCACCGCCACCCATGAGGCCAGCTGCTCAGGGTCAGTAAACCCACTTTACAGAAAAAGAAATTAAGGCCCTTATTTTCCCTGGGTGGGGATCTAAGTAACAGAAAAGCTTCTGTCTCCTGGACCGCAGCTCAAGGCTGAGCCAAGCCCCAAGCCAGACCCAGCCGAGCCAGGTAGGGCAGCTGGAGGGGAGAAGAAGGTTCAAGACACTCATGGGGCCAAGAGGAGGGGAGGAGACGGTTATACAGGGGACCCAGGGTCTCACCCACTCACTGAGGATCCTGCAAGTGTTGAGAGGGGACATCAGTAACCCTGAGTCCTCCTCTTCCCACTCCACCCCAGCCAGAGGAGATGGGCACAGCCCTTGCCCAGTACCCTGAGATGACCCCCACTCACCCCTCTAGCTAGCATGGGCACCGCTGGCCAGGCCCGGCCCTGCAGCCCTCCCTTGGCAGGGAGCTCCACCTACCAAGGTGGCTCTCTAGCCCCAGACCCAAGCCAACTGTTCATCCCAGGCATTGTCTCCGGTCACTGTACCCATCTAATGCATGTTATCACCCAGAAAGCCCGCCCTAACCGCCTCACCCCTACCTCTGCCGACCCCCAGGGCCTGCTCACCCACACACACCTGGCTAAGAGTTGGTCCGCCTCCCAGGCTGCCCCAGCATACGACGCTGGGTCCTGCACAGGAGGGAGGCCATCTCCAAGGCACTGGCCCCAAGTATTTTGATCATGACTCACAGAAAATTTTTTTTTTTTTTTTATCCTCACCCGAGGACATTTTTCCATTTTTTGTACAGACAGAGTGGGAGGGAGAGAGAGGAAGAGAGAGAGAGAGAAACATCGATGTGAAAGGGACACATCGAGTGGCTGCCACCCGCACGACCAACCAGGGCCGGGGACAAACTGCAACCAAGGTACATGCCCTTAGCGGGAATCGAACCCGGGTCTCTCCGGACCGCAGGCGGGCGCTCTAACCGCTGAGCCAAACCGGCCAGGGCCAGAAAAATATTTTTATTTGACCCTAGTACACACACACACACAAGCATACAGAGAACATGCATACATACAAACATGAACCAAAAACCAAAGGTTGCACAAGCAACCCTTGACAATACTGTGCCATACACTTGGATGTTTTCTCTTCTTTTTCATTAAAAAAAATATTCACTGAGACCCACTAAGCTGATTTCATGGCCCGATTAGGGTCCAGTTAGTGGCCCTGATCCACAGTTTAAATAACGACTCTCCAGGGATGCATGTGGCCCAGACTCCCCACCAGGCACAGGACCCCTCTGGATCTGCCTAATAAAGAGCCAGTTGCGGACACTCACTCCAGGCCAGACCCGCACTGAACCTATTGTGGGGTCTCATTCCATCTGCACCGTCACCCGAGGAGGGAGGGCGCTGCTCTAACCCCACGTTACATGTGAGGAAAGCAAGGCCCAAGGTCGGCAGCAAGGGGCTCAGGCAGAATCACAGCCAGTCCGGCTGAGTCTGGAACCACACTGGCCGCCGGCCGGTCTCCAGCCCCTCTCCTGTCCACACTTGGCCCAAGGAAGCCTGCTCCAACTCCAGCGACTGAAAGGCCAGGCCTGCCCTGGCCAGTGTGGCTCCGTCAGTTGGCCATCGTCCTGTACACTGAAAGGTGGTGGGTTCGATTCCCAGTCAGGGCACATACCCAAGTTTCTGGTTCAATCCTCAGTCAGGGAGCATATGGGAAGCAACTGGTCGATGTTTCTCTCTCCCCTCAATGTTTCTATCTCTCTCTTCTTCCCTCTCTCCCTCCTGTTCTATCTGAAGATAAATGCAAAAATTTTTAAATGCAAAAAACAAAAAAATTTTTAAAAATAAATAAAAAAGCCATTCCCTATAGTAACTTAATTCTCCATAGTAGCTGACTTGAGGGGATGCGGGCCAGAGCCCGGGCTGTGCGGCCAGCCACACACTCCTCACGGCAGGCCCTGCGCCCTTCTCCACACCCACCTCCACCTGACACGGCGAAGGAGCCGGGGTGAATAAGGGGGCCACCTCGGGGCTGAGGACCATTCTGCCTCATTGATTTCACTGCCCTAGGGCAAGTCACCCAACCCCTTTGCGACTCCATGTCCTCATCTGTGAAATGGGGAGGATAACAGCACCCTCCATATAGGGCGGCTGCGAGGGAGGGGCTGACACATGTCAAGCATCTGGCCCAGTGCCTGACGTGGAGCATGGCCTGGGGAATGTGAGCTCTTATCATCATCCCCAGTCCTAACTCAAACCCCCATCATCAGAATAATCACATGAGTGTTACACACAATAGCCAAGTGCCCATCAATACACCAGTGGGTAAAAAAGTGTGGCACACGTACACAATGGAATATTACTCAGCCGTAAAAAAGAATGAAATCTTACCATTTGTGACAACATGGATGGACCTGGAGGGTATTATGCTAAGTGGAATAGCCAGTCAGAGAAAGACAAATACCACATGCTTTCACATGTGGAATTTAATAAACAAAATAAAGGAACAAACAAAACAGAAACAGACTCATAGCTCCAAAGAACAAACTGATTGTTGCCAGGGGAGGGGGTGGGGAGAGGTGAAAAAGGTAAAGGGCTTAGAAAGTACAGATTGGTAGTTACAGAACAGCCACAGGGATGGACAGCACAGCACAGGGAATAGAGTCAATGACTCTGTAATAACTGTGTGGTGCCAGGTGCGTATGGGAAATATTGGTGGGACCACTTTGTAAAGATATGACTGTCTAACCACTATGCTGTACACCTGAAACCAATACAAAATAATACTGACTGTAAACTGTAATTGAAAAATAAAATTTAAAAACAATACCCGCCGTGAAGCCTGGGCTGGTTCGGGGCTGTGCGCACACAGACATGCCCGCGTTCCCATAGAAGGTTAACCTGGGCACAGCACTTACTCACTGGTGCCAGGCACACTCAGAGCGTGAACCCACTCTTCCAGTCCTCACAATGAAGCCACACGGTGGGCGCTATAACTGTCATCTCTATTTTACAGAAGAGGAAACTGAAACACCAAGAAGCTAAGTAACTTGCTAGGTCGTGTAGCTGCTGCGTGGCAGGGCCAGGATTCAGACCCAGGCAGGCTGGCACTGCACACCCAGGCCAGCGCTCCGGTCGCTGCGCGCAGCCCGATGGAAGCAGGCACTTACTGCGGCCTGGCCCTAAACTCATCGTGTCCACCACCTTCTCCCCAGAGCCCCAGACAAGCCCGGCGGTGAGGAGCCGAGGCGGGGTGAGGAGGGGAGGGGAGGGCTCGGACTGCTCTCCGGCCAGAGAGCTGAGGCCCTCATGACCTTCCGCAGCGCTCCTAGCCGCCCCGGTGACAGTCACAACCCACCGCGGTCGCACAGCTCCTCAGAGGTGGGGCTGGCAGCCAGCAGCTCTGACTCGGGGTTTCACAGTTTCCACCATCTGGGGCTCAGGGGAGCCGGGTCTGCTCGCCCCTGGAGCTGGGCAGGGCCCCCATGGGCCACCTGCTTCCCCAGTCCTGACCATACTGCCAAGGTATCCCCAAGCCAACACAGCCTGTGCGCCTCACCCCACTCGCCCCCTCGCCAAAGACACAACCCACACACATGCACACATACCTGTAAGGGGGGTCCCCCTGGAAGAAGGCCCCCTGGAAGGCTCAGCTCCTCGGGGGGCCCGAGCCCAGGGCCGTGGCCCTGCTCCAGCGCCAGCCCCAGTTTCCTCATTTCCCCAGCGCTGTTTCTCACCCAGCCCCCTGCACCTCGGCCTCAGGAAGTTGCACAATCCCCTGGGAGCTGCAAATGCGGCCAAGGATTACTCACAGCGCCCGCCCTGCAGGCCGCGCTCACCCACAAGTCTACCCAACGCACAGGGGCCCCCAGCTCCAATCTCCCCCACCCGTCTCCAGGCACCCCAGCCCCCCAGATTGAGCCTCTGACAGCCACCTCCCACCACACAGCCAGGACGCCCAGGCCCCAGGCCACACTGCCCCGGCCAGGGTCGCTCAGTTGCTTGGAGCATCATCCTGGACACCAAAGGGTCTCAGGTTCAATTGCCAGTCAGGGCACATGCCCAGGTTTCAGGTTCAATCCCCGTCAATGCCCAGTTGGGGCACATACAGGAGGCAACCAAGCAATGTTTCTCTCTCTCTCTCTCTCCCTATCTCTCCCCTGCCCCTCCCTCTCTTTTCCTCTCTCTCTCAAATCAATGAAAGCATAGCCTCAGGTGAGGATTTGTTTAAAAAGACGGCGAATCCCACTAGATTCAGTGCAGGCCTAACCCTAGCCCACCCAGCTCCCAGCGTCCTGGAGACAAGCCCTCTTAGCCAGAGCCCCACAGTTCCCCACCTTCCTGACTGACCTCACACGTGTCACCTTGCCCTTGGGCCTTCCTGGGGCCTCCAGAAAAGCAGTGCAAAGTCTCAGGGCAGCCCACCGTGAAATGGACCCTGAGACCGAGCGTGCTCCCCGGGAGTCCTGGGGAGCTCGGAGCCATCCCGCCGCTTCACCCGTGGGAAAGGCTCTTGCTGCTCGCGCAGGTTCCGAGGTTCCTGGGCCCCAGAGCTCTCTAACAGCCCATCCATCACGGGACATTCCCAGCGCTTCTTGCTGGTAGCTAAGCAATCCCCATCTTTGTAGGTAAACACCCCTGGTCAGGCCCTGGCCAGTTTGGCTCAGCAGTTGGAGCGTCGGCCTGTGGTCCAGAGAGACCCGGGTTCGGTTCCCGCTAAGGGCACATACCACGGTTGCAGTTTGTCCCCGGCCCTGGATGGGTTGTGTGGGTGGCAGCCACTCGATGTGTCCCTTTCACATCGATGTCTCGATCTCTCTCTCTCTCTCTCTCTCTCTCTCTCTCTCTCTCTCTCTCCCTCCCTCCCTCCTACTCTATCTGAACAAAAAATGGAAAAATGTCCTCAGGTGAGGATAAAAAAAAACAACCCTGGTCAGGAAAGGCTGCCAATCGCTGAGCTGGTACCAGTCATCTACACCTCGAGGTGGATGCATTTCTGGGCCCTTTCGTGAGAGCATGTTTCAGGAAGGGACAGCATGGTGGCAGGAAGACTGGGCAGGCCACAGCTCCTGGAGAAGGCAGGAGGGGCCACTGAGGTGAGGGGAGCCCCAGGGCGAGGTCAGAGAGATCCAGGGAGCTGACCCAGACTCTGGCTCAACCGTAGGTCCCTCCCTGGGACAATTAACCCTAGAAGGGCACAGAGGGTGAGGAGGAACCTGGCCAGGGTGTGCAGAGCCCCTAAGGATGACCTCTGGCTCCCACCCCTCACTGACTTGCAATAGGCCTCAGATAAGGAGTATGATAAGCACCTCTTATCCTTATCACCCCACACAACTTTGGACTCCCACCCAGCTAAGGACAAAGTCAGAAATGTTTCGCCTGGGCCCCAGGGCTCCCCAGAGAGCCCCTTATTTCTGCAGCTCTCATCAAAAGGCTGGGGCCTCCGGGCAGTTCCTCCACAGCCCTTTGAGGTCTAGAGTAGCAGGAACCAGGGTGGAGGCCCGTGGCCAGTCCCCGTGGCCAGTCACCTGACGCCTCCAGCTCAGTGGACAGGGAGCGCAGTCAAGGGCGCAGGCCACGCTGGAAAGCCCGCCCTCCCCTGGAAACTCGGGCCGCAGGCCTCTTCGCAGGGATGCTTCTCGAAATGCCCACGCAGCCGCCCTCTCCCCGTCCTGACAGCCCCACAGGGGAGGGCAGCAACCCTTGCCACTGCTATTCCCAGATGGGGAGACTGAGGCTCCAAGCACTCAGTGACTTGCCTGAGGCCGTGCGGCGAGTCCGTGGCAAGTCTGTTTCCTGGCTCTTTTCCTAGACCTGTTCTCAACCTCCACACAACTGACCCTCAGGACCACATCGTTCTTTGGAGGGGGCTGTCCTGAGCATTTTAAGACATTCAGCAGCATCCCCGGCCCCTCCCCACTAGATGCCAGTAGCATTCTCTGAGTCATGACAACCAAAAATGTCATCAGACATTGCTAAAGGGAGGCAAAATCGCCCTGGGTTGAGAACCACTGCTCTAGAAGTCCCTGAGAGACAAGCACCTGCCCACTGAAACTGAAGGGTAGTTGCCAGGGCAGAGCCTCCCTCCGCTGCCGGGTGCACCGGCGGGAGGGTCTGACTGCTCAGTACTCGGCGGGCTCAGCACCCTCTGGGCAGAGGCCGCCACTCGGGGGCTCCTCTGAAGACACCCTCCCACCCTCAACTTAGAAACCAGCCCCCTCCCTGCCAGTCAATATTATAATTTTCTTTCAACTATTTTGACTATACACTCCTCTGAGTAAAAATGTTTGAGCACCGCCAATATATGCTTCTTTTCTCATAAACTGCTTATAAATACCAATGCACGAATACACATGCATGTCAGCAAACATACACAAAAGCAGTTCTGTAGAAAAGAAGGGGAATGTAAATTACATGCATGGTAAGGCGCTCTTAACACACCGCATGACAGAAATCAAAGTCTGCCAATAGCCCTCGTCGGCGAGGATACGAGCAACAGAAACCCTTCGGCACCGTGCACAGCGACTCAACACAGCAGTTACTAACGTGGAAACACGCGCTGCACACCCTGCGCACTAAGAAGGTCACTCTGAGTTACACACGCTCGGGAACATGCACACACCGACACTAGGCGGCACAGACACAACTGCTCGTACAGTAGTATCCGCAGCAGCCAAAAGGAAAGCAGCCCCGACGTACGCGAGCAGCAGATGGATACAAGCATGGTAGCAAGTCATCCAGCAGAACACGATACAGCAGTGCAAATGAACACACCACAGCTACAGGCGACAACGTGGGTGGACCTGCTGAGACGAGGAGTTGAGAAACATGACACAACAGAAAATGTTCAGTGTTGTTGCAGCTGTTTTAAATTCAAAATCAGGGAAAGCTCAATGCTATTGCTCAAGGAGGCAGACAGAAGTGGTTACGGACAAAGAAAAGCAAGGAGGTGTTATTTGAGGTCAGGGTCATGGGTACCGCTGGGGCGGGGTCTGACCAGTGGGCGCCGAGCTGATTTCGGAGTGAAGGCCACACTCTGTTTCTCCCGTGGGTGGGATTACCCAGATGCTTACTGTCAAAATTGCTACATCATACACAGTATATGTTCATGCTCTTTTCACCAAGTGTGCTGCATTTCACAAGGAAAGGGGGAGAAAGGGAGAAGATGTAGGTAGAAACAGAAGTTCTGATACTTGCTTCTCACACCGGGCTTCGCAAACCACTCTGATTAGGCCGAACTGGATGAGAACCTACAGCCGCAGGTCCGGAGCACACAGTCATACTCGCTGTCTGCGAAGGACTCCCTCAGCTGGCCCAGACTGCCCGCTGCCCCTCAGCCCACAGCACTGGGCACTCAGCCCCTTTCATCCCCCGCCCTCCGCAGGGCGTCCCAGCCACTAGGCCCCTGGCTGCCCAAGGGCAGGGAGCTGCATCAGACTGGGCACCTCTGCCCACCTCACCCTGCCCTGGGCCATTCCTCCAGGCCCCTCAGAGGCTCAGGCAGGCAGGCAATAAAGGAGCGGGTGAGCCTCAGACACCCCGTGAACACACCAGAAGGAGGGAGGCGGAAAAAGCATAGAGTATGGAGAGGGGCACCGAGAGCAGGAAAGACAGGTGTTCCAGATGCAGAACGAGACGGAGGATCAGAGGAATTGCAGGGAGGAAAGGGGGAGGAGAGAAGGTGCTGAGGTGGGGGGGGGGGCAGATGCCGTGCCCCCGGGTCCAGGGAGTCCTGAACTGTTGGGCCTGACTTAGCACCCCATGCCCCATGGCCTGGGGCTTTCGGAGGTGGGTGGGTGGCTCAGGGCCTCCCTGTGCCTTCCTTCCCTCATACTCAGCAGCCTATAGCCCTCTTGGAAGAAAGGCTCTGTCCAGGAGGGAAGCCTCCAGGCCTGCAGAGGTGACCCCGGGTGAGAGGAGGGGCGCAGAGGGTAGGAAGGGCTGAGCCAAGGCCACCTGCTGGCATGAGCCCTTTTGTAAAAGCGCTCTCCAGACCAAGGGACAGTGCTCTCCGGACCAAGGGAGAGTGCTCTCTGGACCAAGGGAGAGTGCTCTCCAGACAAGGGAGAGTGCTCTCCGGACCAAGGGACAGTGCTCTCCCCGGTGAAGGGTCAGGCGCGAGCACCTGCACACTCATCGGGATGTTCTTCTGTCCTATCTATGTCTCTCTGCCTTTCCGTGTCCTCCGTGGTTACTGAATTCCCTGCTGGTCCTCAGCTCTGAGGAGGGACCACTCCTGGTTTCCATCACCCTGCTGGCAGCCCCGGCTGGCGCCAGGAAGTGCTCACTCCTGTTGACCCCAACGATGATCAAGGCCATGGGGTGCTGGGGTGCTGCCGTCATGGCCCCTGGGCCTGGCCCCCTCCTCTCGACAACGTGAGGGCAGCACCAACGGGCCTCGAGGTCCCTGGCGCCACAGCCCAGTCCACTCGCAGCAAAGCCGGCCAGTGCCACCCCGGCAGGGGCGGCTGAGAGCGCACCTGGCTAGAGCCGGGAGGGGACAAGAGGCAGCAGGGGTGGACAGTATAGTGTGTCACTTGGCACCCCTCAGGGACTGTGGGGGCTGAGGCAGGTGTTTTCCCAAACCAATTATAAACACAGCAGAGGACAGGCTGTGACTTCCCTTGGCAAACAGGAGAAAACAAACGGAGCCCCACCCCACAGCCCCACTGGTAGAACTGGGGAGGGGCTGGCAGAACCCTC